ATGGCTGTGAGTTTTGTTGTTTTGTTTGGAGTGTACATTTACTATTCTCCACCCCCATTTACTCGACCTCCTGCACCCCCCACTCTCCTCTCTGCTTGGCATGGTGCTTGGCTCGTGCTGTAGGCTACATAAATACATTTGCTGCATACCACCAGCGCTGGCGCAGGCTATTTTGCATGGCAGTAGCAAAAGGACAACCTGGGTGGCTGTGTAAGTTGGGGAGTGGGTCTTGCAGTCAACCCGGCTCCTGGAGGAGGGTGCCTGTGAGGGAGTGGGCAGACACCTGCCCCCGCAGGGACTTTGATTGTCAGCCTTGCAAACTGCAGCTTCCTGAGCCCACCCTGGGTGGCAATGCAGCGGCCAAGATGGCAGAGGCAGTGCCAGGTGGAACCTGTGGAGACAGATGGCTGGGGTTCATAGCCTGTGAGTGCCACAGGCTCACACCCAGGTGGGCCATCTCTTTCACCTGGGCAGCTTCTGGGCACTAAGGGGAAGGGGCAGGAGGTGTGGTGGGGATGACATTAGGCAAGGAAATAACCTACTGAGGAGGAGTGTTGGGAGAAAGGGAGGAGGGCCGGAGCTTAGATTGACCATCTTGACCCAGTGGGGTGACCCCTTCCCCACTGATTACAGACTGTGTTGGGGGAGGGAGGAGATGAAGCCCCTAAGTCCCCTTCTCAGGCCACAGTCAGGATTTGGTATGTACAGTGATTCCTCCGAGCCTCCCGGGTAAGCTGGGTTCTCTCGCACCTCCTCGAGCCCAGAGGACGTCTCCCGTGCTGGGCACGGTTGCAATATGCTGGAAAGGCAAGGCCAGAAGACGCTTGTCCCTTGGGCTCTCTACCTCAGGGTTGGTTTCTTTGGGAAAGAAAGAGTACCAAATAGAATATGCATGGTGAGAAGCTGAGGCGTTTGCACGCACCTTCCCACTTACAGGGAGGAGAAGCCAACCAGAAATGACAGCTTCCCATGAGCTCACATGTACATAGACACAGGGCCAGAGTTGGATGGGGGGTGGGGAGGAGGTTGGGAGTTGAGGAGAGGCAGGGGGCACAGTAAGGGGCAGGTTGAAGGTGAAGGGTATTAGGGTTGGACTGGTTCTAAGAGAAAGGCTTTTGACTTCCATGGGGTTGGTTCTGACAAGCAGCTGGAGTAGGTGCCCACTCACCAGTGTAGACCTATGTGCTCCATAAAGGGTTCACTGGCTTATATTCATAAGTAGATCACTGGGCCTTTCTTCCAGGGTACCTCTAAAACGACTTGAGTTGTCAGGCAGCCAAGGCATGGTTACTGTTGGCACCGCCCAGAGGCCCAGGGATTTGTGGGGTTGGTGGTCATGTGACTCAGAGTGACCTCATAGGACAGTAGAACTGGCCCGGATGGTTTCCTTGGCGTCGTCCTCCTGGGAGCACATCACGGTCTTCCTCCTCCTAGACGCGCTGGTGGGTTCAGACAGACAACCATTCAGTCAGAGCTGAGCCCCCGTGACTCCTTCCACCATCTACACGTGACCCTTCTGTCCTTGGCGTTTTCCTCTTCTGTTTGCTTCTGCAGGAAGACGGGGTCCACGTAGTTTCCTTGTCTGTAGATCAGTAAAAGTTCATGCACAAGGAAGCTAGGTGAGCTTCGGCTCTGAGGACATATGCTTTATCTTTTTTCTCATCCCTCTTCCTTTCTTCTTCCGGGGCCTCCCACGATCTATGCGATTTCTTAGTTCCTCCCACACGCCCACCTGGACCATGGAAATGTGTTTTGGGGGCAGGAAGATGTGCTTCCTACTGAGCACAAAGAAGGCAAGTCTGATGGGGGTGGGGTGAGAAATAGGCTGAAGGACAACCAATGTTTCTGTGATGATCGCCCCTAGGTGGAAATGCTGGCTGCTCCTCAGGGTGCGTGGGGTGAGAGTGGGGAATAGGTTCCAAAAGCAACCCCCCTGCCATTAAGCCGATTGTAACTCATAGTGACCGTCTAGGGCAGAGTACACCTGCCTTCTGTGGTTTTCTGAGACAGCAAATCCTTTTGAGACCAGAAGCTTCATCTGTCTCCCCTGGAGAAGCTGATGGGTTCCAACTGCTGGCCTTGTGGTCAGCAGTCCAATTTGTAACTCCACTACACCAACAGAAGCCCTTAGGGAGGAGATTAGAGGGTCCTTTTTCACTCGCTCCTTTTGGCTCTTAGCATTTTCCTCTCTCTAGATACTTGAGCTGCTGAAAGTTTGGTTCCAAGTGGATTCCTAGGGTAACATCATGCTTCAGATGTCCCCTGTCTGAGACTGAGGTGACCATTCTTTAACCCCCTCTCCTCTTGGCTCCGGCCTCATTTGTCTTCGCTCTCTCTCAAGCTTCCGGGGCTTAGCTCAGTGCCAGAACACGCCAAATCCTCCAGGCTCAGCTCAGGTTAATGAAAGAGCATGCATCTACCTAAATCCGTGTTGTCATCTTTCCCAAAGGGAACTAAAGCCATGATAGAGGCTGGGGCCTTCATTTCTTCTCTAGTTTTGCTCCCCAACCCTACAAACTCACTTGACTACCCAGGACAGGAACCCTGCACCTCAAGGATGCAAAGATGATGATTTCCCCAAGCATGGAGATCACAGAACTTGGGCTTGAGTTGAGATCCCACTTTGGTCAGTAAATGATGAGGGGACCATTCTGGTGAAGCAGGTGTGGGCACAAGGATAGCAAAGGGACGCTGCCAACTGGAGAGGACAGGAATCATCATGTTTCCCATTTGTTGCGTGCCTGCTTTTCACCAGCACTGCCCTCGTACGGTGGCATCTCCAGTACTTCGCAAAGGACCCGCGAGGGAGACTTCACAGCATTTCCTTGACTCTGTGAAGCCATTGATTTAATAAAAGCTTTTCACATAAAAACACATAATAAAGGTACATAATGATGCTTGTTTTACTGTACTCTTACCAGTGACCTACAGAACTTATTCATTTATAATATCTCCACTTTATCCTTAACATTAGCAACACAAGTGTGAATCCTAGCCTACATAGTCAGAATCTGAAGAGTGGCTAGCTCCCCTTAGGCTGTGCACACGTGGCTCTCCATCATCCACCTGGGATTAGTTTGGCCCCTTAAGGATTGAGAGTATGATTTACAGCAGGGGAAAGAATGCAAGGCTCTGCCTGTGTTTCTTATTTTATTTCACTTGTAGTTTCTCCTCCCATAATTCACAAGGCATGACGACCCCACAGCCCACAGCCTTGCCTTGCTCTGAAGATTGTGTGAGTGATGCTCACATCTACAAAGGCAATGACATCCTCCTTTTTTCTTTGTCTGATTACTGGCAAGGTTGGTGCTTGTAAGCGATGATTGTTTTGAGCATTATTTTGAGCATGGATTATCCGGTACCGTCCTATAGAAAACACGGTGTGTGTCACATGAGCCATAGCATTAGTTTGCAAAACCGACGATCGCTTGGTTCCATAATTTGCCTCCGATGACACAGCTGGTAGGTGATGGAGCTAGGGGAGGTATTTCATCAGTTATTTCATCTCCTTTATTCTCTCCCTCCCCCAAACCCACAGAGCTATCCAATGACCAATTCCCAGTCGTCATCTTAGCAGCACTGGACACCATCCTTACTTGGCTCCCGTAGAGCTCCTTCATCCGTCACTCTAAGTTTCCTGGGTTCCTTTGCTCATGGCTCCACAGATCCGGACCTGATGTTGGTGTGCCCCAAGAACAAGCCCTCCGATGTCATCACTTGTCTTGAGCGATGGCATCTAGTCTCAGGGCTGGTTTCTATACACCAAGAGCTCTTCGTATAAATGTACAACCCTCTCCCCACGCTTCCTCCTGTGTATCTAATAGGCTTTGCAAACTTGATACGATTTAAACCAAACTTCTATTTTCCACCTCACCCCACCTCAAATTCGTTCCTCTTATGTTTTTCTTTTTTTTTTAGTTGTTTGGCCCCAACTGTTGG